CCTCTCGTGGGACATTCAAGTTTATTAGTGATTACGGGAAATTGAGTTATTTCAGCGCAACTTTTTCAGACACGCATGTTTCGCTGAAGTTTTCTCTTGAAATGGCGCAATAAATCAAATCAAAATATAGTAAAATTACTAAGATATATACAAGAAATGTCAGCGGGTTTTGACGAGAACGTGAGAGGCGTGCTCACGACGGTCCGAGCACTTCGAAGACGCCACTTGAAAAGAGCGATAAGGCAAGTTTGTAGAAGAAAGATCGGTATGCGAACATAGCACGCACTGTATAGTGAGATTTATAATCATAAAATCTGGAGGAAAAGATTTTCAAAGCTGAACTCGGTCTGGTTCGAAGCGTCGAGCGGTATAGATAGATCTAACGAGTGAGAAAATCGGAAAAGTGATTCTTCTCTTGGTAAATAAATTGTTTGGTAAAAGTTTTTTTGGTAAATATCATCTTGTGAGTTAGTAATAACAATTAGAAATTTTCAACCTATGTATTTATTCGTATTTTTTATTAGAACAATGGCAAAACGTTCAAACACGAATGAGTCTCGTGACACAAGTAGTAGCGAAGATGAGCTCCGGATAGACGTTTCTACAGATATGTTAGAAATGTTACTACAGATATGTAGAAGGTTTTCTTCTACAGTTAGTCCATTGTTTTGATAGCAGTGATAGTGATATCCGTCCAAGCAACAAGGCGTCGAGAGAAAGAGTTCGCATAGATAGCGATTACAACAACAAAAGAAAATTATAAAACAAACAATAACAAAATTATAAGAAATAAAATATTGATTTTTTTGCAAATTTCTTGGTTTCAGCCAAATTCGTATAAGTCCAATATCATTATAATATGTTAGTTAGTTCCAAAAGCATACTAAATAATACGAGGGTCTCCTGAAAAGTGGCGCTGAGTAGCTGGTAGCCAACGTCCAGAATGGTTCTGAGTGCTAAGGGTTAAAGTTACGTTTGAATGAAAAGGAAACAAAAGAAACGTGCACGAGATATTATATTTCTCACAGTGTCCGAATATTTTTGCGACGCGAAAATTAGACAACATTTTGCTGATCGTTTGTTATGCAGCGAAATACTCGAATGATAGAAAATGTGTACGAACGACGAACGATTTATTTAACTTGACAATTTGCTAAGATATGAAAATATGAAACTAAATATACTGCGACGTTATACTGTCGCGAATAAAACGTTGGCATAATGTTTAAACGGAACGAATGTTCGCGTGCAACATTTTCTATGGAATTACGTTTCGAGCTAATTAATTGTGATCCGCGTTACTGGCCAACGCACGACGTACGATG